ATGGCCGGCCACTTGGATGGTTTTTTGGTGTGATTCATAATTTGTTAGCTAATTAATAAATTAATTGAGTAATAAATCAATTAATTAGATAATTAATATAATTTAAAATCAATGATTTGGGGTTACCTTGTGGAGAAAATTTGATGAGGATGGATGAAATAGGTTTTGAATAATTACCTATTTTGAGCACTTTTGACCTTTATTGAGTCATAATTGTCCACTGCTCGTGCGTAGGAATTCTGGTATTCCTTGAGGGTGATTTTATCCTTTTCACTCTAGAATCCACATATCACCTTCATATTTTTCTTGATTATTTTTTGCTCTATATGATTCATTGTATCAAATCTAGCAATGATTTACAAATTAAAAGTCACGTGCTAATTTGAGGGCTGACTTTTTGGTTTAATTAAAAAATTAGTGGAGTAGATATCTACTATTCTATTTGCTGCTACGTACAACACGGCAAAGGTAGACAAGAACATTGTGGAAAAAAGAATTATGAAAACCATTCAAACTTGCTTTCAAATTCAGCATATATGCGTGTGTTTTCTGCAAAGATTGAAGAACCATTCAACAATCCACATCCATGTTATAATTTAGGATCATCAGTAAGATTTACCATGCGAACCTAAAGATAACAAGCTAAGATGGAAGTTAGACCAAATTGTTCACTGTGTCTGACTTGTATCTTTGTATCCTAATTCAAATCTCTTCAGTTCATTAAAATTGAGTTAGAAAATATGGTCAAAGGTATAAACTTTTCCGCATATCTCATAAATAAGCAAAAATTGGCTGGCTAGAACAGTGAACCAATGATTAAGACAAACCCTAACCGGCCTTTGAATCTAGGGACAAGTTTTAGTTCACGCATGTTATGCATGGTCCTATGGGTCTGGGTAAGTTTCTCATGCAATGGGTCAACAAATCAACAGCATCGGACTTAACCAAGTATCAAGCGTGTGGCTGTTCTTAATTTGAAACCATGAATTGATGATAACTCCAGAGTTTCTTAAATATTAAGTGCCTCATGATTATACCCGTTCAAAATATAATTAACTAGGTAGAAGCTAAGCAAAGCACTAAAAATGAAGAGAGAGGGGCTTTCACACACTATTTTAGGTTCTCACACGCTCCTTTTGATTTTTAGCCATCCAATTGAATAATTCAAAAGAAAATAACGGTCTAAATTAAACAGAAGCGTGTTAGAGGCTAAAAAGGATGTGTTCACATATTACTTTTGATCGAAAAATCAATCTGATTTATTTCGTACCTTTCGCTCAATGATAAAATGGGTCAGATTCTACAGGATCAAACCTATGGGACTTAAGGAATGATGGAAGGGAATAAAAAAAGAAATAAAAAAAGAAAGGGAAAAATAATAAAAAAAATGAAGTAAATAAAAATGAAGTAGAAGAGCCCAGATTCCAAATGAATGAAAACGTGACTGAATTGGTCCTAGTTACTCTTCGGAACGGAGTGGAAGAAGGGAAGAGATTCTCGAATATTATTTTCCAAATAAAAATTCATCATTCCTTAGTACTTATATATTTTGCAAAATAAAAATACGAAACAAGGATATGGAGGCACTGAAGAGAGTTAAAAGGTGAAATAAAACTATTTTGAACGTTCCTTGGCGCACTGGTTTACATATATATCCATTATTTTGGGGTACTGGTTCAAAAATTCTTCTTTGGTTAAGGGATCTCTTAAATAAACTTTTTTTTGGAGGACAATCTCTTAAATAAACTTATTTGAGAATCTTTTTGCAGAATGATCCAACCATACATCATTCGGTTGTTTTCTCAAAGACTATCACTACCAAAATTCACTTAAATCCAATACCATTTCACCGTTGGATTAAATGGTAATCATATTAGTTTGTCTTTGAAAAATTATATTAATCTATTTTCTACACTACAATTGAATGTATTAATAATTTTGAATTTATTTAATTTTTTTTTTTTTAAGAACGATCTATAAATAAAAAAACGTTATGTAATAAAGATCAAAAGGTGTCCCTTAAATAAAATATTTAAGAAATCCCTCAAGGGACTGCTGGTTCACATATTTATTTATTTACTGTTTGTCAACCCAACAATGGAATTTCTTTAACGAAAGAAAAAAAACCTAACAATGGAATAAGACATTCCACATGAATATTCATTCCATTTCCGTTTTAAGAATCATTCTTGATTCTAATAATTAAACATGTTGCAAGTTAATTAAAAGTGGATAAATTAGGTTATCATTTTTTTTTAAATGAGAGAACTAGTGGCAAGTTACGGTTATCCACCTATTCTGATATAAATTAGGTTATCATTCTTTGTTTTTTCTATTTATAAATTGACTTTTTTCATGTCATTATTTGAATATTAAATTATTTACATGTCATCATATGTACATTTTAAAATGTTAAGCTTATTAATCATTTCCAAAGTGAACTGTTATTAGCACTCGAAAAATCTCATTCTACATTCCTCACAAGTGTATTTTTCTTTCTAATTATAGAAAGTTTGGAGTGCACAATGAGATTTTTTGAGTGCAAATAACAATTCCCTTTCCAAATATATCTTTTAGTATTTTTGATATATTTTTATTTTAAATTTGTACCCATTTTTTTAATTTGTACAAATATTCTATTAAATTTTAATTTGTAACCATACTTTTAATTTTAATATGTACTCATATTTTTTAATTTAATTTGTATTCTTTTTTTTTTTTTTTTTTTTTTTTTTTTTGGCTGAATGTACCATGTTAATTGCATGTATTTATTTTATGTTTCAAAATATATTAATAGTTATTTCTTAAAATATATTAATAATTACGTGGATACATTATCTTTTTGCTAGAACTATGTGAAGACTATTATTGATTTTTAAGTAATTATTATATTATAGAAATATTATTTGAATTTGTTTAAATTTCATTATTTGTGAGATATTGAATGCATAAATGCAGAAGTTAAGTCCCTTAAATGATGTTAGAGATCTCGATCAAACTATTTAAATAAACAATGTTTCATTCTAACAATTAGGTTGACTAGAGACCAGAATCAAAATGATTATTAAGAAAACATGTATGTGTAGACATGTAAATTTTGTTGCATACAAAAGATGCATCACCAAGCTCCACGTGGCATATGACTCATCACAAATAGACAAGTCATCAATGACATGTTGCACAAGTCAAGCAAAAGAAGTAGAAAACTTCACCAAAATGTGGCAAAGGGGAGAAATCTCCCTTAAATTCAGCAAAAGGATCCAAATTGATCCTAAAACCGGAAAGAAAGTTAAAGCATCTTCATAAAACAAGCAAGAATTGAATATTGGCTCTTAAATTCGACCAAGCAAGGGAATTAAGACACAAAACATACCTAAATTCTCCCATGGATGAATTAGGACATAAATCAAAGCCAAATCCATCCAAAGGCAAGCTTTGAAAAGCCTATAAATACAAGGAAAAATCTCTACATTGAAGAACCTATACCAAACCTTTGAAGACTAATATGCAGCCAAAGCTCTCTTCGAAGAACATTCAACCAAAGCCGAATCTTTCTCTCGACCAAAGCCTAAGCACTTCCTTGAAGAATCAACAAGCACTCGTGCTAATTCCTTCAAGGCATGGTTGTAATCTTATAAACTTGTAGCAATGTTCGTTTCAAGATCAAGTCGCCAAGACCCTTGAAGCAACACAATCCCGCATCAAACACTATCTTTGCCGCACCCAAGAGGTGAAGATCATCCACGTGTTGTTTTCAAGCTCAAAACTTGAAGCAATCGTTCAACCATTCGTCCGAGATCAATACAAACGTTCAACCGTTCGTCAGAGGAAGATTGTAAACAGAGATTGTAACGTACAAATTCAAATCAATACAAATCTACTTTGTACTCGTGTTCTCGTTTCATTCGTTATAGAATTTTCATGTTTACAGTATGTATCTGTAAACAAAACCTTTTGTAGTTTTTGCACACCGTTTGGGTATCTCTCTTGGTCCAAACGATGCGATTCAATCTTCAACATGAGTCATCCATAGACCATAGCTAATCTAAACCCTCACCTCTCCTAACCCTAAAATCAAAGATGTTGTCGGAATTAAAATTCAGATATTAAGAAGTAACTAAAAACCATTTGCCGGCACACAATTTAAGGGATTTAGGTATGATCACGTGCAATTGAAGGTATTTTGTAGATGGGTAATGTTAAGGAACTAAATTTATAGATAAAATTTGTAAATTAAATAATGTGTCATCAATAGAAATGAACACATTTATTAACGTTTAAGTAATAATTCAATCATCAACTTTCATATCATATAGTTTACAAAATTAGTTTACGAATTTAATCTTCCTAACATTATCCTTTGTTTATATATATACTAGCTGGCAATCTCCACGCATTATATGCATGTGCTTGTATGAAAAATAAAAGTATGGCTATGTGAGGGACATCTAAATTTAAAAAAAAAAAAATATATATATATATATATATATATAGAGAGAGAGAGAGAGAGAGAGAGAGAGAGAGGACGGAATGGATTCCAGTTTCCCTCTTAAATTTACAAAGATTAAATTTTACACGAAAAGTATAAAATAATAATAAAAAATAATCTTCCACATGTACTCCCACTTCTTTGTCTGTGTTATCTCATAGATAATGGTATTATCTATGTATTAGTTGCACCTTACTTGCATGACCGAAAAACCGAATTTAAGGTAACATAAAGCGCACCACAGAAAAAAGAAAACGATATGGTTAAAGTAACTTTGAAAAGAACAATTAATCACGTAACAAAATATAGAGCTTGTCAAAGCCGTCATAACTGACCACCGGCATGCTCAAATCTAAAAGAAAACAAGGAAAGACTTTATCCAAGTCAACTTCATCCCTTCCCTCTCATTTAATAACCCCCAACACCCTTTCTCTCCCGTCGTCCATTACCTAAAAGCCAACTACGTTCCTAAATCTAATTCCTTAACTATCATCTCACTCCATCCAATCATATGGGCAATGCAGTTTCTCCCTGCTTTCAGCAAAAAACAAACTCAGTTGTGAAAGTAATATTTTCAGAAGGCAGCACCACAAGATTCCTCAAAGGAAACCACATCGCTGGAGAGATCATGTTCGAGTTCCCTGACCAAATGGTTTGCCACGCAGACTCTTTCTTCATCGGCCGCCCGGTTCCTGCCTTAGCCATCAACGACGAGCTCATGCTTGGCCAGACCTATTTCGTTCTTCCGATTGATCGTTTCGCATGCAGCGTCCTGTCAGCCTCGACCCTCGCCGCCCTAGGCTCATCGTCGAGGCCCAACAAGAAGGCAGCTCCTATCAATTTCGGGGAGTGCCCGTTTGAGTACATAAAGGGTTCAAACGGAAAGGTCTTGATCAAGGTGGTGCCAGAGTTCATAGCAAGGCTAATTGCAAGAAGTCAGAAGGAAATTGATGGGTCGTCTGAGGCTGATAGTTCTGTAAGTACTACTTTTCTTTGTAGCACACCTGAGCTGCAAAAGCACTATGAACAACTCGTTGTGTCTAAAGAGCAATTATGGTCGCCTAAGCTTGAAACCATTTCTGAGTATAGGGTTAGGTTTTCACCATGCAAATATATAGGGCTGGAGTGGAAAGAAAAAGAGCAGGAAGTCATCTAGTTAATTTCCTTTTTGTTTTTATACAGTTTAATTGAATTTTGTATCAAGGGAAAAGTTAATTTGTAAATTTACTGTACTAGTAGCTAATTAAGGGCATAAGAAGAAAGAAAGGTTTGCTAATTGTGCGTATTGTTTTCTTGATTATTATATATATGTATTTGTGACTAGTACAAAATTTAATTTTTGTTAAAGTAAAATAGTAAAATAGTTTTTTCTTTTTATTATAAGAGATATTCGTAGTCTAAGCTACAATAAAAAAAAAATAAAAAAAGAGGAGAGTTTGAATCTAGGATATAGTAGATTAAAGAGAAATGCTAATCCCAAAGCAATCCACCACTTGCTTCTTTTTCTATTAGAGCATTGCCCTTTTAGTTGCATAAATCTTTGTTTAAATTGGTCCATCCTTATATTTGGTCATGTACTAGTCGCTAAATAACTTTATTGTAATTGTGGTAACTAAATTTCTTCGGTTTCAAATGAGATGCCACATGTGTATGAAAGTAGATCTAGTGAACCTGGATTCGAAAAAGAGTACTTAAGTCCTCAAAATAACTAAAAAGTGTATCATGTCTAAATCTAATTGGGGTTAGAATTTCGCCAACACTCAACCCTTGCATGCGTGTGTTGATTATTAAACATAAGAGGGGATGCCTCCCCGTAAATCACGCTTAGTAGAGGTGACACCTCTGCAAAAGTTGGCGTGCGAATCCTTCATGTGATGGGCTCATGCAAAATGATACGATAGGCCACCCTCATTCAGCAGAATTGGTGGGCTATGCAAATTGTACGTATTGTTTTCTTTCTTTCTCTCCATACGTATTCGCGAGTGCAACAAAATTTAGTTGTTATCAAAGTAAAATTGCTTATATTCTTTTTATTACTAGTAATATTTTTATTCTAAGCTCGACCAGGAGAATGGAAAATTGTAATATAATAGTTTAAAGTGAAAGGCGAATCCACCAGAGTAGTCCGTCATTCGCTTCTTTTGTATTAGAATTAAAATTTCTTTTTTCAGTTGCATAATATCTTTTTTTTACTAGTTCATCCCTATATTTGGTCATGCATCCATATCAAAGTTTATTGTAATTTTGTATAGTCCGACTTTAGAATGAACATTTGTCTGTATATCTTGATTCATATATAATGTGATTATATTATATTGTCGTCAATAAAAATTATTAATATGTTGTTGATACATTTTCGACCATATTAACATAGTAACAATGCATGTCCGTCATTATGCATAAAGAATTTTGATGTAGTTTGTATTTTTATATGTCTTAGGAAAGACTATAAAGCTTTTCATATGCATATGAATGAATATATATTGTATGATACCGTTAAAAAGGGTCTGCTAACAATGCACGTCCGTCATTATGCATAAAGAATTTTGATGTAGTTTGTATTTTTATATGTCTTAGGAAAGATTATAAAGCTTTTCATATGCATATGAATGAATATATACCGTTAAAAAGGGTCTGCTAGGTATCCCATGAGAAAATAGAAAAGTAAAATAAAATATACATGTGAGTTTAAGATAAAAGAATATGGGTTGGACTTCTTGTCCACCAAAACCCATTATACGAATACCTTCGGGGTCAAGCCAAATTAGCTTGAGTGGCCGCAAGGCAAGGGGAGATGAATCCTGATTCGACTTACCTAACCCAAACCGCCAAATCTAGTTGGATTTGGTATTCAATTCATCTTACAGATTGAGGGAGCAATAAAGCTCTTTGACCCAAGATTCTCTCGTAGTTTTAAGTTATACCTAAACTTGTTTTACAACTTATCAACAAACAGCATGCAACAGTCTCCTAAACCTGAGCACATCGGTTTGAACTTGTGTTGACTCTAAAAATTACAAAACCTACGTGGCGCGCATAACGAGTAACTAATGAGCTAACTACGTCCTTCGGTTGAATGCGGGGCGTGCCAACTCGTCGGCCGAGCTCGACCGAGGAGTAAAACTTGATGTTGTCGCGTTGGGTGCGCTGTTGACTTCTGTATCTTGCGATTGCGACCGAGGAAGGAACGCTCTCGGCCTCTGGGTTCTATAGCCTGAAGACAAGGCTACTAATTCTACGGAGTTCACAAGTCGTCGGAACCTGATTCGGTCACTGTGATTATATTCGTAAGAGTATAAGCACGCCGAATCGAGACCAAACTATATGGGCACAGGTACTCGAATGTGATATATGTCTTGATGGTAAACGTAGTTCGGCCGTCGGAATGCCGAACCCTGAAGCTTACTTGCGAGTATCCAATCATAAAACCACTCGGCGTCCAATACGCCGAGCAATGCAATTCGTAACACCCTACTATGCCGGAAAGGCTTAGTAAGATGACCTCTACCAACAAGGGCTCGAAAACCCTTCTCGGCCGAGACTTAGATAGATAATCGATCGACCTCGACGCAGTGCTGTTTATCCAAACTGAAGGTGCTCCTCGATCGGCTGATTCTGCGGCAGCAGTGCTGTTTATCCAAACTGAAGGTGCTCGCCGGGTGCTTCCACAGTGCTGTTTATCCAAACTGAAGGTGTGTCGGCAGGGAAAAGAAAAGGAAAAAATCTCAAGGTGTTTGAGAGGTTTTGCGCAGGGCAATTGTATGCTGAGTTCTGAAGGTCCTTTCTATTGCGTAATTTCTTGTATTTATAGCACCTCGTTCCCTGAAACCCATTCGAATTTGGATTGGGAGTCCTTGTCCCATTTTACCTCTAGCTCGAACAATCCTACCCCTTCTGGGATTCTGAATTTTCCTCCTTTTGAAGCTTTATTTCTTGCTGGTCAAGAATCCTGGTCGCACCAGGACTTCCTCGACATTTTCTACTCATCTGGACTTTTTAGGATAGGATTCGGCCGACCCTGCCAGCTGGCCCGGGTTCTATTATTCGGCCCATAACATTTGTCATTACCTTGGGCCGAGCACATCTTGCTGCTCGGCCCAACCATATTATTTTGGGCCCAAACATTGCCCCCTCGCTTCTGAGGTCGCCGACTGTTACTCTTGGTCGGTCCTCGGCCTTGAAGAAGCGAAAACGTTTATTGCTTTTTGGACCTTACTTCATTAATGACCATTATTCCTGCATATTTATGAGACATGATTGCACCTTCCTCGTTGCCCCCAACGCGTGGCCACGTGTCAATTCTCCGCCGTTCTTAAAAGCTTCAATCATGGGCCTCGAAACCGTGCACTAATTAAATCGTCTTATCCTTATTAATGCATTGAACCTGTCGCCGCACGCAATCGTGCATCCTGGATTTTTGACTCCTCGATTCCATTTTCACAGGTTCCCAAAATATCCGAAATGATTGCAGACTTTCCCGGTTAAATTTCCCCCCAATTTGAACCAACGCTTTTCGAATTCCAGTGCCTTTCGAAATTCAGGCGTTTGATCTTCAATCTGAAAAGCCTATAAATACCCACACTTCACTCTATTCGTATCTTACGCTTTCAGAAATCCCAAACTCTCAAATTTTATCATCCTTGCTCGTTCAAACCAAACCTTCTAGTTCTTCCTTCTGCCATCTTTCCAGTTCTTCCAAATTATACTAATGGCCTCCTTTATCGCGAAACTTTCTGATGAAGTCAACAAGTGCAAGGATTTCATCGATCGGAGCACAATCAAAACACTACGCTTCGAGAATGACATGGCCACCTCTCATCAAATTCTAGGCCCACTTTTCAAAGACGCAGTGCCGTCGTGCATCACCGACCTTTTCAAGGAGCAGTGCCTAACACCCCTGCTTCAAGGGTTAGACTGGTCGAAATGGTGCCTGGCTCGGCCTCAGGGAGCTTGGCCCTCGACCACCACAGCCTGGGCCGCCTGGGTGGACCGAATGAGATCATTCTTCGGCGAGGAGTGGAAAGCCCTGGGTATCTATGATGCCATCCTGCTCTTGACCATGGAGATTACCATGGACAAGGAGCTGCTTATGGTGGCCTTGACTCTATGGTGTTCGGCCACCAACACTATGATCCTTCCATTCGGCCCCCTCGGCCCAACGGTCCTCGACATTTCGGCGATCCTTGGGACTTCTCCATCCGGCCTCCCAATCGATGCCGCTCTCTCAGGATGCCCCTCCTTTCTCGACCTGAAGGCGCTTTTCGACGAGCGGGCTGTCGAAACGCTCAGCCGAGGTGATCGGGAGCCTTCGAGAGAAGAAGTTCACAAGCTTCATAAAAACTTCTTCAATTATAATACTCTCATCCTCCATTTCGCCGGCCGGGGCGAGGAGAGTCTCAGGAAGGGGGAACATGAAGTCTTCCTCTTCTACTGGTACAACAAATTTATTTGTTGTACCAGATCGAACAAATGTTTGGTCGAGAATATGCCGGTGGCCCAGGCCCTAGCTAGTGGTCACTCCCTGGCGCTCAGCCCGGCTATTCTTGCCAACCTTTTTCGTTGCTTGGCCGAGACGACCATCAACAAGATTGACCCGCACCAGAACGGGCCCCTCTGGGTCTTTCAACTCTGGCTGCAGGTCTACTTCTCCACTCTTCGGCCTGAAGTCCCTGCCTTCCAGCGCTTGGCCGCCCTTGGCCCCCAACTGGCCTCTCGACCGGCTCCTCCTCACCGGGCCGACGAGGTCCTCAAGCACTTTTTTGGCCTCGACGTCCTTTCGGACGACGAGTTTCTGGTGTGCCGGCGCCAGGAATACCCTGCCTCAATCAGGCTCCCGACGGCAGCTTGGGCCGAGACCGAGGACGCGAGCCTTCGTCAGTGCTGGGGGTCATTTGTACTGGCCCGCGACCTTCCCCTTGGTTGCGATGCCCGCCGGGCCAGTTGGGAAGTCTACCATCCCCACTTCGTCGCTCGGCAGCTTGGCTACCTTCAAGGTTGCCCCGTGCCTCTGCTTGCTTCTCGTTCCCTCCTGAGCCGGGGGCGTCTTTCTGGTTCTTCCGAGAGGGAGTGCCGGACGATGGAGCAAGAATTTCAGGATCGGTGCAAGAAGTTCCGTCTTCGGCCCACCGTTCCGGAATCCTTGGGCACCGACACGTT